ATATTAATATTACTCAGACAACAGACGAAGTTGCTTGGTGTCGGTATGATTTAGTCAGATTTGGACCCAGCAGCAGCTGCAGTCCTGTGAGCTGTTCTTCAGTGAGGAGATGTTCCAACTCAGACCACCATGACACCTTCCACTGCTCTGTACTGGACCGCAGCATCCAGTCAGCGTTTGGCTCCTGGAAATCCTGACAGAACCAGACAGAACCATCATGTTGCGCGTACGCGCACGGGGGTACCCATCTGCGATAGCCTTAGAGGGCTGCGCTTACACTCATAGAATCTGGGGTTACAATACGTAACCAACGTTCCGCGGCCCAGAGTTAAAAACTGTTGTTCTTTTGAGGCCCTCAAGGTGGTGCTCGGCCCATAGGTTAAGAATCTCTGATCTAGTTGGCTCGGAAGGACGTCGGAACCGCTCTGACCACAAATCAGGGATATTCAACATGTTTGGCTGTCTTGGATCAATATCTCATCGTGTGGTGTTTCCCCGAGGACAAACGAGCTCGCAGCCTGCTGTATGTGACGTGTAGCCAATCAGAAAGTGAAGTGACGGAAACACAGAGGAGAATCCAAAACACAGACAACAAAAGAAATGCCACGGAGCACCAGAAAGTCTGATGGACATCAGAGACGTCTTTTTGTTTTTTCTGTTAAAAGTACTCCACAAATTATCACCACTGCTGCTTCCTCGTCGGTCATGTTTATTTACTCTGAACTCACGTTTGATCTCGAGAGGTCTTGCGAGATTTCCCATCTGACATCTGAATGTTGGTGAGTGAAATCTGTCAGTCCGTGTTGATAAGGCTTCCAAATTAAATTTAATTAGTCTGACAAAGCAGCATCTCTCATTTACAGCTGTCTCGTTCGGCTCGGTACTTCTCTCCTTTCAGTAGGATTGTTTACAGCGCACACGATTTCCGGTTAGCTTCTTAGCTTAGCCTCCTTCACAGTGGAGCTGGCACACATACGTCGCGGCCAACAGATCCAATCATTTTAAACTTCAACAGAGGCCACGCCTCCAGCTAGAACCGCTTCTCTATAGCAGCGAGTCCAGACCCTCTTATGAAGCAAAGTGAAGGACAAGGGTCTGGTTTTAACCAGGCTAATCATTTTATATATGAAAATGTAGACATTTTTCTCAGTTTATGTTAGTACAAAATCATGTTGGACTTCGTGCAGCAGCTGCATTGATCCCTTTCAAAATCTATTTCTGATACTGTCTTGTTTTACATGTCGACAGAAAATATTCAACAGACTTTGGTCTTTTTTGTCTTCGTTGATTAAATATTAAAAAGAAGACCCACAGACCCACCTTACAAAGAGTCAGCATTAAGGGAAGGTGAAGACTCAGTACACTTACCATCATCTTTTCACGATGTTGACTTTGCTTTGAAGTACTTTTACGAGTCTACTTGGTATAAACAAGTTGCACAGACATTCAGACTCACATGGCAAGAGGAGTGAGAACAAGTGTTTTACAGACTCGCAGGAACAACAGCTCAGAACAAATAAAAACTATTTCTTTATTACTTTATGATAATCTGTATCTGCAGTGAAACCTTACACAGCATGTGTGCAATCATTGGTGGAGCTCGTTGTTTTGGACCGGTCGAAGCTCGGGGCAGCACACAGATCACAGTGACGTAACTGACTCCCTGCTGACGCATCTCTCCCTGCGGTGTAATTGCCCTTCTATTACATGTCTCTTCCTCCCACCCACCCTGGTGGTTAAAAGTCATACCACTCTCCTTGCTATAACACTCGGTGCTATTATTTCTTCTTCATCTTTTTCTCTGTATGTATGTTTCATCAGAACGTCCATTCTCACTCCTCTGACACCGACAGAAGAGTTGTGTGTTGGCTGAGGACGCTCTTTTTTTCCCGTGTGTTTGTCTTGTGTCACTGCGCTGCTCTGTCTTGCGAAGTGAAGGTCGTTCAGCGTGTGCTGGGCCTTCATAGCGACAGTTCTGCATTCCTCCCATCTTTTCTTCTTCTCTCCTTATTGCTCTGCATCACCACTTTCTGAACCAATGCTCTCGCTTTCCTTCTGCTCTCGTTTCTCTAAAGCTGGCCCAGCTCCCAAGGTCAGATTGGGTTTTTCTCTGAGCTCCCAGTTTAACTAACCTCATTCATGTGGAATGACTTCTGAAAGATTCAGCACAGATTGAAGAAAGGAGAAGAGTTATGAGGGACAGAAACAGGGATGGAACTAGATCCTTTTTGCAAGTGGGTAGCCGAGGTGTTTTTTAGAGGGGCACATACAGTGAACGAAAATTTCTATAGATTTGAAAATTAAAGCTGGTCACCACAGTTAATACCAAATGGCTCTGAATCAGCTGTTTTAAGAAATATTAAACTGTAATTTTGTGTGATTATTTCTAAAATTATCTAAAAACATGCTGATTGCTAGTCCCAATTTAAGCTAACTGCTAATGCTACAGTGAAGCATACTGAGTTACCGGTAATATGTTTCTTATGTGGCTGAGGCATGTTTGACAATAACAAATGTATAAAGATTTATCATTTGTTTTTCAAATTAGGTAACAAAAAGCAGAGCTACAGCTAGTTCTTTGCCTGATCTTTTCTCACAAAAACTGTCAATTATTAAAAACGTTGTTAGACAGAATGATCAAAATCAACCAAAGATTACATCAAATTTATTTTTTATTTTATTTTTTATTTTCTGTGGTGAAGTTTAAAAACCCAAGTATGACCCTTTGTTTAACCTTGTTCTCATCTTCTCTCCTCCAGAACTTGAATCAGAACCCTCGCACGTTGCTGCCCAAGTTTTTTGGCCTCTACTGCGTCCAGTCAGGCGGGAAGAACATCCGTGTGGTGGTAATGAACAATGTTCTGCCCCGTGTGGTTCGCATGCACCTCAAATACGACCTGAAGGGTTCCACCTACAAGAGGCGAGCGTCCAAGAAGGAGAGAGAGAAGGCCAGGCCCACTTTCAAAGATTTGGACTTCATGCAGGACATTCAAGATGGACTGATGCTGGATCAGGACACCTTCAACGCGCTGGTGAAGACGCTACAGAGGGACTGCCTGGTGAGCAGGATGGCTGGGAAGATTTTGGTTCTGTTGTGTTCTGAGTTATGCTGAGAAATAGTTTATTTGTCACATGTCTGCCTGTCATTGTGTATTTACATCTGTTATATTTGTGGTCTTTGTTCAGGTTCTGGAAAGCTTTAAAATTATGGACTACAGCCTGCTGCTCGGAGTGCACAACATGGACCAAGCAGAGAGGGAGAGGCAGATGGAGGGCTCCCAGAGCGACAGTGATGAGAAGAGGCCCGTTGCCCAGCAGAAGGCGCTGTACTCAACCGCCATGGAGTCCATTCAAGGGGGAGCCACCTGTGGAGGGTCCATCGACACCGATGACACGTGAGTTGAACTCTGAAGAGGAGAAGTCATTTGCAGAAGAGTCAATAGAGAAACATGGCTTCGTAACGGTTTTTCACACAGGTTTAACCAAACAATAACAAGCTAATATTAGTTAACAGTAGCTTACCACCCTCTGTTGTCCTGTCCTCTCATCTTCAGCGTCATACTGCTGGATGGTCCGGTACAGTCTTTGGTACTTTTCCTTCGAGTTTGGTGTAGTCCATTATTGTTGTGTTGCAAATAAAACAAAACAAGATCCCAAGTGTTTAATATTATGATCCCGCCCACTTTGAGGCAGCACTCTACTCAATGCAAACACAACTAGGGCCGGGGTAGCACAAGATCAGGTCGACTGGAGCACCGGCGGGCCGAGCCAGGCCTTACAATGCAACAAATAACAATAAAACAATGCAAAAATGCCTTATTATTCCATCCACTTGGTTATGGTACTCCATGTACCTTCCTGGATCTTACCACCTGCTATTATGTGTTGGGTTGTCTCAGACACATCTTTGCCCATCCTGATCTTGGGTATTGTCTGGCATAGTAGACCCTGGCCTCTATTGCTCTTGTGCTGCCATGATTGTGCCTCTGTGCTGTCTTTTAGTCCAGCCCTCTCTAGCCACTGGTAGGATTTGTTGATAATCAGCCACTACCTCAATCTGTCGGTGGCAAATGCCATGTAGGAGTTAACCTTCTCATGATGGCTCCACTTGTTCCTCCTCTTCCCCGCTTTCAAACTCAATCTTACTTTATGGTTGTGTGTTACTAGTGAAATACAGTATCTGCCTACACACCCAGTGACGGATGTGATTCAGTCCTACTTTTCTCCTTCCAGGATGGGCGGCATTCCAGCTGTTAATGGAAAGGGGGAACGCCTTCTCCTCTACATCGGAATCATTGACATCTTGCAGTCCTACAGGTGACCATGACTGAAATTAAATAGATGTAGTTGACTCAGGTCATATTTTCTGCTTTTGTCTGTGTAATACTGACATAAAGTCTATGTTAAATCAAAATGTATACAGATTGTAATTTCCTGCTACAGGAAGGTACCGTTTCTACACAGACTTTAGCCTCATTAGATAACCCATTCACAACTCTGTATTCAGGCTTCATGCACGCTCTGCATTGGTTTATATAAGACSTGTTTAACATTAGGTTGATGCTGCTTGTCATTGTTTTTGCAGGCTAATTAAGAAGCTGGAGCACACATGGAAGGCTTTGGTTCATGATGGGGTAAGTTCCTGACATGCATGAAACACGAACTACAGTCATGAATGTGAGAACTAAACATTTTGTTTATGTTTGACCTCATTTATGTTTATTATTCTTTAGCAGTAAATTTAATTGTATAAATACAATATACCACCACCCTGCTTTCTTTCTATTCGGTGAAAGCCTGGTGGTGTGTTGAGATGCATTAAAATAGAAGTGTGAGTAGCTTAAGAAACTAATTCAGGAGGAACTATGGATTAATCAAGTATTGATTATATGCATATCAGCAGCTACATTGTGTAGTACAGGTAATATTTACCTCCGCCAAGGGCGAGGTAATGTTTTCGGTCGCGTATGTCTGTCTGTCGGTCTGTCGGTCTGTCGTTCTGTCATTCTGTCGTTCTGTCTGCGGACAACATTACTCAAAAACTTGTGGACGGATTGTCATGACATTTTTACCACATGTGCGTACTGGGCCAAGAAACACACGTTTAAATTTTGGTGATGTTCCAGATCACGTTGCGGATACAGGAATTTTTTTTCCTTTAACACTCTGAGATCGGCAAGGCTGTGATGCTTTCACGGGGCTTCTGTAAAAAAAACAGTGAGCTGGATTGGACAGCACGGACTTCAAACTTTATAAAAGTAATGTTAAAACCACATTTAATGATGAGTAATTTTTGCCATAAGATGCGCATTTACAGAAAGTTTTGTCACCAGGAAGTGCGTGACTGCACCATGAAACCTATTTTTCCCATTTCCTCAAACACACCACATTTCTGAAACAACCAATCAAAACTGTTTCTCACTACTAGGCTTGTGAACAGAGAGCTGCTGGACCTCAAAGTTTGGAGATGTGGGGAGCCGGGAAGCACCTTATAAAGAGAGTCAAACCATTACAAACTCATACAAGGGGAAAAAACAGACGTTTTACACGGTGAAATGTGACTGATGAAAACTTGGGAGCTTAATCCGACACCAGTTTGACGATGAATAACGTCAGGTGACGAGTCTGACTTTTTTTTTTTCACATTGGACTCCACCGAGAAGAAATCCCRTGCATACTGCCTGCTTAAATGTTCTCTACGTCAGAACTTATTCGGCAAATGTGTTTCCGTCTCTGCTTTTGCGCATYAACTCTATTACAGGATGGAGGGAATTGGCCTTGGCGAAGGTTTGCACTCTCCGAGTGCTTCTAGTTTAGTATGTTCTCCAATTAATTCAAACTTCTCATTTTCTCACTGTCAAGATTGTCATTCATGTCTAAGCTTTACTCCAAATAAATCAAATTTTAGTAGATGAAATACAAACTTTCATTTGACTAGAGTTTCTTCTTGTTTTACCCTGATCAGACATAACAATATGAGCACTGGCTTGTAAAGTGAATGACACTGCTTATCCTGTTACAACACAATTAACGGTGAAACTATCCAGAAACAGTTTTTATGGATCTATCACTTTACCTAAAAAGTAGATGAAAATTTCCTTTTTTTTAAATGCAAACCATAAAACCAAATGTAAAAAGTGTGTTATGACCCATTTCAATGATGCAGTTTGAAAGAGTTTACTCCAGGAGTGTTCCTGATGAATTGATATTCAGCTCTGAAATGTGGGTTTGCACCCAAAATGAACAAAGGACTCACAGTGTTTCTCCTATCATTGTTCAAGAAATGCTTGAAATGTTCTTTTATGGGATGCCATAAAAGAACCGACGTCCCCACCTAAAACCTCTTCCACCGCTGTACGTCATACATAGTGAAGCTTTAACAACCGTAGCTGTTTTTTTCAAGACTGGAGTCTGAGGAAAAAAAACTTGTTTATTATTTTTCTTGTCAACTGTGGAGGTGAAAGTTGACTTTCTCTTAAATCCATCTTGCTAATTTAACAATCGGCTTCTGTTCTTCATGTCAGCAGCACGTGGAAGCTCACGGGTTTGACAGGTTGTTTTAACATAATGTTAGATTCACCACACTTACATTCCAGATATTGAAATTGATTTATTACTATGATTATTAAAGTGAGACAGATATGAGTCAACTAATGCAAGTTAAACAGCAGAAGTTTTCATGTTCTGTCATTTTTATTTAGAAAAAGTTGCAATTTCTTTGAACCAGTAATTTTTCTGCAGTCAGTCATCATTTTGTGTTCAAAAGCCCCCACCCCTCTCCCAAGGCCAGTACTCTGGAAACACTGACTGAATCCACCAAAAAGAATTATGCTGTCCTTAGTCTGTGTAGGTAAACAAATATGATGGAATGGGACATGCATAAAAATCACAAAGAAAGAATGTGTTAGAAAATTAAAACAGAAAATTTCAGTCTGATTTGAAGGATGGGATTTTGTAGTGTGCCCAATGCCCACGGAAAAGACATGTGGGATTAAGAAGTCTGGCAATTTTGACGTTGGTCTTTTACCTTCAACAAAATTTTTTGAGCAGATGCCCATTTTTTACGGTCAAATTCATCTCGTGCCGTCACTGGAATCCAGCTGTTTGCCTGCATCTTAGCTTAGGAAAAGTGACAAAAACTACTCCTCACATGTGGACGTGATGGATGCATCCTGAGACACTGTTAAAAGTACTGTAGCAATTTTTCTCAATTAAACACAGCTAAACCGGCGCACTGTGACTGAAACTAATAGAACCGTTGCCAGAGTTCATACGCACACGAGTGTTGAGAGGACTAGTGTTCTAAAAATAGTCTTGAGTGGAGATCATCATTGATGATTCACAACTATCACTAATGGAGAAAACCCATACAATCTGGTTGTCAGCCCTGACTGCAGTGAAGAGAAATATAGCTCAGAGGTGGAAGCCTCCTAACGGCACATCTTTAGTTCACTGGCTTTGGTTATATATGGACTTGGAACTGTCATCAGCACGGATTAATAATGCAACTTCAGCTACCATTGCATCTTGGACAGACTTTATAGACTTAAGAGACTACTTTCTGAGTAGGACTGTGATAAAGAGGATTGCCAGGATGGTGGACGCTGGGGGTGGGGTGGGGG